AGCAGAACAGTGGGCATGACAGGAGAGATCTGCTGTGCCATGTGGGTCACCTCTGGGGTAGGGATCGATCTTGTCCTGAAATGGCTTTAGCTTATTAGTGCTGTGCTTTCACCTTCTGTGTCACCAGGGAAGGCCCAAGTCTAATTCTATTTTACAAATGATCCTTTTGATGAAGGGATACATTTTAATGGGTGTTAAATCTAGTAAATGGATTAAGAAATAATATTTCCCAATAATTTGAAAAATTATTTTCAAATCTGACTTGCAATGAAAACTTGGACACAAATACATTTATTACATATTTTCTAAGAAGTAAAACAAGTTCATAGTTTTAGTGAAAAGGTCACATAACAACAAACAATCCATCTTCATCTATTTACCCACAATTGTCTGCATGCCCTCTATCCTCTACACTTCAACAAAATTTTGCAGTTTATACTGACTCACACTTTGACTTCTTTAGTGTTCCCTCTCAGACCTCTCAAATGCCCTTTTGTTACCTTTTCTCTACTGTTAGGTCAAATCGAAGGCTTAGCAAGGATTGTTACAAGAATTATTTTCAGGAAATGAAGAGAAGGGAGGCGAGAACTGGTTCTTGGTGAAAAGCCAAGGCTTAGGCGAGATAATTTCTTGTTTTGATTTTGACTCTCGGCATTAAAACAAGATTATTTTATGGTTTCTGTTCTAGTCTTGGAAAGTTCAACATTTGACACACTGATATTTGACTACTGAGGTCATACTTAGAAATCAGTGCTACTTACATTACCACATACAGATAGTAGTGAAATCCTAACTTGGGGAATTAATACCATGAATGCTATAGCTCATATTGTTTGGACATGTGACAACTTCAAACATTGTGTTTCAAACAAAATACACAAACTATTTGCTTAAATAATGATTTTTTAATCACATAAGAAACTTGGAAAACAAAGCTGTTTTATAATAAATAAAATGGTAAGGCACTGAGCAAGGCACTGTATTGGACACAATGAGGTATGGCCCTTGCCAAGTTACATACATAGCCCATCAGTGTGTGTGTTGGTGAAATCTTGGAAAAGCTATCTACTGAAGCTATCTACTGAAGTGGAATACAAACCTAGAATATGACAGAGTAATCCTCTTTCAAAGTACATATCTAACTAAGAGAATTCCCAAGTATTAGGGATACACAAAAATGATTCTGGGACTTTATTTATAATCAAAAACAGGAAACAACTCAAATATATTCATAGAATTAAATGAACAATTTATGATATATTTATACAATAGAATACTATATATCATCAAAAAGGAAATACTATGAATGAATTTCACACATCTGAGTCAGAAAAGTCAGACACATAAAAAAACATACTGTGTGATTTCATTTATATGATGTTTAAGAAAAAGAAACTAATAATGTAAGTCAAAATAGTAGTTACATTTTGTGGGAGAAATGACTGAGAAGAGTCTCAAGGGAGACCTGAATTGTAGGAAATATATCTTAATCTGAGTAGGAATATTCTAGGCATAAAGAGAAATATTCAAGAGACATTTTAAAAGAAATATTTAACTTTCAAACTGATAAAGGGAACATAAAGGAGATTTGGGGAAAGAATGAATTCAGTTCTGAATATGTTGGTTATAGGCAGATGTAAAAATTCATCTAACTGTACACAAAGTAGAATATTTGTGCATTTAATGCAGATGTACTATACCTTAACCAAAACAATTTTTTAAATTAAAAAAATAGAGAAGAATCAAATCTTCATTGGATGAATAGAAGTATGCAGAGTACCAGGACTCACAGGTAAGCAGCAAGGGCAGATTGGTCAGGTGTTCAGCATTAATCCAAAAAGTCCATGGATGGACATCATGAGGCTTAGATCCTAAGTACTACTCCAAATAGTCACACCAAAGTATGAATTAAAATAGTGCTTTTAAGTTTATTTCACAATACAATCCAAATGTCAGTAGGTAATTATAAATTTTCTATGCAAAATATTTTATGATGAAAAGATAGTCAATAAATGTCTATCAATAATCTATGGTAATACCAAGAGATGGGTACAGTTTACAAATGTGGGAGTTGAGAGTCTGGAGAAGCCACAGTGAGACAGCTACTTAGGTAGTTTCTCAAAGGACATAGGAAACAAGCCAGAATCTAAAAGGTTACAAACAGAAGCAAGACCTTGCAAAGGGTGGTGCACAAAGGTATTGACTTGATTTTTTTTTTTTTTTTTTTTGGTTTGGATGTCACAGGGCAATATGCTTAGTTAGACTGTAGACAGCCGTGAACTGTCATGCTCTGAATGCATATCGATTTCCTAGGTATCTGAAGATGGAAGTGTTCCTGCTAAGGGAACAACATAAATGGATGATTATGAGAGTCTAAGTGAATCTTTAGATTGAAAAAATAGTTTGGGCTCAATTCACAAAGTACCACGAACACCATACTGAACAAATTCTTCAGTAATATTAGAGGAACACACCACCCCAACGTTTTGCAGCTCTGTAGAGCTAAGCCAACTATGTTACAAGCCTTAACAATACATGCTGTAAGCAGCTGAAGGATAGCTTATTTACAGAAGATTAAAAGATTTATAAGACACATAAACCTTAGAGGAATGTTAAAATGATTATTAAAAAATCAATAAGATACTGGTTAGGAACAATCCCTGTTCAGTGGTGTTTGTTATGGACATAAAATTGTTTGAAACCATTAGTTTATTCTGCAAGATTTTGTTAGCTTGAAGGAAAGTTAACATACAGTAAAATGCTGATATAATTATGGATGTATTTTATTTAATAATTTTACACTACTGTAGAGGATTAGATAAGATAGCTCTTTGATGTTATAATCTAAGGTATCCACTTTGTCAGGGGCTGGCCAGTACCCAATGATTAGTAGCTCTAGCTTGTATACACATGTACATTGAGACATTCTAGATATATTTAATAAATTGTTATATTGAAGATTAAGATGCAGAAGTTGTCCTCAGTTATGCTTTAACTTTATAAGATAAACTTCTCATGCTTATTTATCTGTGGCTTAAAAGTTTGACCATGTTTTTTGTTGTCTCATCATTACCTTTGGTAGAAATAAACTCTAGACTTGTGTATTGTTTGCTAGAATTATTAAAGGTAGTGGTGTAAAGTAGAAATTCTATTGCAAAGTTTGGATATATGATGGATTTTAGCAGAAACACAGAACACTGGTCACGTAAAGCTACTAAAAGTAAATATCTGAACTCATGCTTTTAAATACCTAAAAATACAGCAGTAGCTAGACATTTTAAAAAATATTTATTTATTTATGTATACATGAACTGGGGTACAGGCCAGAGGTGTTGGGGGTGAGAGGATTCACCGGAGACATAATGGGGAACAGAACAGGCAGATTTGGTGAAACACACTGCTGAGGGGAGCAGAGGAGAGGCAGGAGAAGTCTGCTGCAGCATGTGGGTCAGCTCCCTGGCTGGGAATTGAACTCATACTGCAGTGGGTGCAGATAGCTTCATACTGCTGTACTTTAACCCACTGTGCCACCAGGGAGAACCCCTTGCCTTTGCATTTTTTAATGTCATGTTTTCTTAGAACTTTGTACCTAGAAGTCTGGCTCCTCTCTTTTGTTTTATTCATATAGCTGTTGCGTAGCTCCCTTGCTGAGAGGACTTAAAAGCAGTGGCAGACCAGTGGCAATGAACATATCCATTATTAAGATCTTAGTTTTCAAATATCATTCCACTAAAAGGAGCCAAGGATCCTTTGAAAAATGACTAATTACAGGGGTGGAGCAAAGAAAACGCAAGGTTAAAATGGAACATATTCTTAAATAAAATGTGTACAGAGATCATAGTGACATGTCAGGAGGAAAAAATGAGCCTTCTTATCAGAGTATACATGGGCCAAATTTGTGGCAACTGAAGCATCAAAATGAATAATGACAGTAATGAATTATACCCCTTTGAATAAATTAATATAAAAAGATAGATGATAGATAAGCAGACAGATATAAACAAACAGAAATACAAAAGAGAAAGTTTTTCCCTACAGTAAGAAGCCAACTAATAAATGCAGGAATGACAACCAGAAAATCACTGCTTAGCAACCATCATAATAATGATTCGGGCATGAATCATTAAGAGATGCAAAACTTGTAGGTAAAATAGGATACTAAGTTGTCTCAGAGTATCTCTTCATAGGGTGCTTATTCATTTTAAATAGAAAAATAACTTCCCATAAGAGAAACCTGGAAGTCACCCCCTTAACCAAATGATCAAACAACATAACTCAGTATCACGTTCTCTTGATTTTAGGGTGGGAAGATATTTAGTTTTGAATAAACTCTAATTTTGCCTTAAGACATTTTTAGCTTATTTTTATTATGGATATTTATCAAATTTCTTAGATGTTTTATTCAGCTATACATACATAAAATTAATAGTTCAGAATCCAGTGTCCACTAAACCAGTTTCTACTACACCATTCATGCACAGCAAGAGTTACACATGTGGTCAGTTATGATTTTAAAAAAGAACCACCCACCTCTCCTCATATATGGGTGTTTCTTAATTGTTCATCTTATTTTTAAAAAATCAGGCAATGAGAATTTATCATATTTCCCCCTTTGTTTCTTTGCTAATAGGTAATAGATTTCAGTGCTGTTGCAGAAATTATATATTCTTTCTATCATTATATGACAAAAATTTTTATATTATGGAAGTGTGTATATTCAATAATGAAAGAAATTTTAATTTCACTATACAGAAAGCACTTAACTGACAGCACCTATGCCTATATCTATTGTACTGTGCTGTCAAGTCTGTCAGAAACTACAATATTTCAGTAGTCAAAGACTATATAAAGCTCTTGATAGAGAAGGTGTTTAAAATTGTACATATTGGCTATAGATTATGGCTATAAATTACTTTGTATATAATACTATCTTTATCTGAATTTTTAAATAGATGATGAATCGGGTCTTACTATAGTGATACATATAAAGAGAAATATACCTCATGCAGACAAATGAAGGCTGGAGTTGTAGATAAATCAACAAGCCGCTCATCTTGGATGTTAACTGTGGGTGCTATGGCATAAATGGGATCTTCTTTAGCCTTTTCATCTTCGTCTTCCTCTTCTTGTTCAGTGTCTGTTGTACTGTCTTCCATGTTTCACAATTCTAAAATGAAATCATTCTATACTCAGCTATCTAAGGATGTCTTTTTTACAATGTAACATTAATAAAAAGTAAGCAAAACTCAATTGCAATAAGCTGCTCTCCAAAGAAACTCTATGTTGGGAAATTTATCTACATTCATGTTAACATAAGTCTTTGTTGTAAAAATTATTTCTTTTGCTACACCAATAAATAATTCTAACTTTAAAAAGTAAGATATTTTTCATGAACTGTAAAAAAAATATATATCTAGAATATGAACTCTTTAGGTCAGAAACCAAAATTTACTTACTGAGCGTTGTAGTAAGTGTTCAATCACTATTCTCTGAATGGGCAAATAAACATTAACTTCATCCTAAATTATAACACAAATTTAATTCAAATTATTTCTGGAGAGCTAAAAATCAACTTGCTGTGGTGCCCCATCCCACCGGGTGAATGGCTCCACACTTGTACTGTCTGCTGGGACCCAGCTCAAGCCAACACTGTGTGCACTGCCAACTGGCCACTTTCCCATGCTCAAGTGCATGCTCAAGTATCCCATCAGATCACTTACAGAACATTAGCTCAAAAATAAAATTACTAAGAATTTCAAGATGGTAACATCAGAGTGTTAACACAAATGCAGGCCTTTTCTGAGAACAGGTCCTTGTGTGTCTGCAGCAGTCACACAACTATGATGCCAGTCTTGTGCACTGGCTGTTCGTTTGCTCAGGTATTCAGGGAGACCCAAAGAAGTTTCTAAAAGGACCTTGTTTGGGCCTTTATGATCTTTTATCCCATTTTTGTGGCATTTGGGATGGCTGCCCTTCCAAGAGAGAGCTGGGAGGGGCCCTCCATTGCATAAGTGAATGCTCTTCTACTAATCATTTGCTCTTTTGTGGTCTGAAATAATATATGAATCTGGACCCAACAGAAAAGTAGGCCTGCACTCTTCTCTTGCCAGAAAAGGTAACTCCATAAAACTCATAATATTAAGGTTTGGACTTTTGTTGAATATGTATCATCTCTTATAGCCATTTTTTTTTTCAGTTTAGTTACTCCTTGATGATAGGGATCCCCATTCTTTTAATATGAAAAACTTGTTGTGCAAAATGAATCCAGGAGGTATGATAGTCAATTTAAAGTCAAGTGACCACAGACATATCATTTACTCATCAAGTCTCTTTCTTTCTCTTGAAAATGGAAGTAGCAATAACTAATTGTCGGCTTCATGAACAACATATGCAGACTAAATGTGATAATGCCTCTGGACTTCTAGCTTCCAAGATATCTTCAGTTTTCTACCACAGCCATAAATTGCACATGTACTTGTTTTCCTCCTCTGCTAGAAATAGCTTCTTCATAGGTGGTAGCATGTACCTTTATCAGGAGGCACCACAATGCTTTACTTTCTTTCTTTTTGTGATATTGATAGTCATTCAGATCATTTAGATTTCCCCTGCTTTAACACATTTTCTTTCAATGCCATAAATCACCCTTTTAAACGTACCCATTATTATTAAGGCATTACAACACTTTACAATTGGTAAATAATCACAGCTTATTTGAATCTTCAGTGAGCTGGAAATAATTAAGTTACATATCTAAATTTCTTTGTGTTAATATGCTAAAATGTATATTTGATAATTTCCTGGGTGTCAGAGGTTAATAATTATTGCAGAAGAATATCTGCTTCAGAAAATTAAACTGTACCCATTATTTTTACCTTTTTCAAAAAACACAATGTAAACAAAAGTAGCAGAATAGTATATCCTCATGTAGCATCAACTAGTTTCAACAAATATCAATTCATGAGCTATTTTGTCTTATCTAAAGTCCTCTCCCCACAACTGCCCATATTATTTTGTAGCAAAATCTCGATAGCTAGATAATATATACTGAAGGACTCTGTAATAATATACAAATAGTCCTCATTCCATTTCCAGCTACATAGCATTCCTTTGCCTCCATGAATAACAAGTTACTCAACCCTTAATTTATAAACATATAGTGCATCCATTTTTTGGCTATTAAAGCTTTGCAATATATGGCACATATATTTATTTCAAAATATTTTTAAGGGTTCCTGAAATCTTTATAACTCAGTTGGCATGAACCTTGAAAACTTAAGTTCAGACAATCTTCTCTAAGAACTGCACCTTAAATATGGTATAGTTTACCCAGCCAACAAAATTGGATATTATGGTGAATTTGTGCAAATTCCTCAGTCTGCTGAAATTTTCAAATTCCATTATTCTGAAAACATTCTAAATAGTTTTAAAGCAAGTGAAACATTTTACATTAAAAGCAACTAAAAGACACTGTAACAAAGTTCTGAAAGATATTATCAAACTTAAACCTTCAGGAAAGGAGAACAAGTGACTAGTTAAGAAAATTCAATAGAAGTAAATATAAAATTCTTGTGAATTAAAACTAAAGCAGTAATTAATCTATGTAATAGGAAGAAAAGCTCTTAAATTGATACCAGACTTTAACAGAAAAAAAAGAGTCTACGGATTAGTTAACATAGAATTGCAAAATCTGTTGTATTAATATTATCACACTACAGATATATGATGAATTGCCAGATGTAAAAAAACAATTAAAAAATTCCATTCTTAGACTTCCATGACATAAACAAGAGAATATTGAGACATCTCAAATTCCTCATGTAGGAAGTATTGCAATAACTTAAGTATTGCAATTTTAGAAAAGAATAGCCCCATAATACCTAACTCAAAAAGCAAGTATTTATATAGTTGCTTTATGGAGACCAAGCATTTACAATGTTTCAAGTGATTTACAATCTAAAGAGGAAGCAAGGTGGGGAAATAAGCTTTGCATAGCAAGTTCTGCAATGAAGCAGCCCTGCCTAGAAGGTTAGATGATAAGGCCTGAGTTATGATATAGGAGTCTGAAGAGGACATTTTATAAGGGAGAGGACAGGAACTGAGCATTGGTACAGAAAAGCAAATGGCTAGTGGAGGAAGAAAGACGGTAAATAAAAGGTTTAGTTTTAGTATAGAAGAAAATTATTCATACTTCATCTTGGTGTTAAAAGAAAGCCAAAATAGGAAGCTTTACAAAGAGAAATTAAGCAATAAACATTGCAGGGTATGCCCTGTTTTGTAAGTCACACCACTACTTCCTCTTCCCTAAAGCTAAAGAGGTGATGATCATTTTGTTTGGATTTTGAACTCTTTTTTTTTTTTTTTTAAGATTTATTTATTTATTCGTACAGAACTGGGGTATAGGTCAGAGATGCAGAGGGTGAAAGGCTTCACCAGAGACAGAGTGGGGAGAAGAACAGGCAGATCGACGAAGTACACTGCTGAGGGGAGCAGCGGGCAGGTCAGGAGAGGTCTGCCATGCCATGTGGATCTCCTTCAGGGCTGGCGGGAATCGAACTCATGTGGAAGTGGCTTAAGCTTCTTTGTGCTGTGCTTTAACCCGCTGCGCCACCAGGGAGGGCCCTGGATTTTGAACTCTTAAGGAAATTTTTCTTCAGTTGAAAAGAGCATGTACAAAAATTAAAAATTAAATCCCCATGTGCTCGAGAATAGGGCAGGATACGCAAATAATATGACTTTCTGTAGGTAAAACTGCAACGCCAAGAAGGATGTATTTGGAAACCACAATTTTGCTACTACTTGTCACTAAAGAAGCACAATTTTCCTCACTTTAGAATAGCAGGGCATGATGTAAAGTCAAACGCGATATTTCTCTCCTAAGCTGTTTTTCATACTTTAGCTTTGCTAACTGCACTGGAAGCTTGGTATGTGGTCCTACCTGACCACATCTACAGTAACCAAGAGACTTCTTGGGGGAAGGAAAAAGTCTGGGACACTAATATTTTGGGGGGGGGGTGCAGTTTACTTATTTAAAAATGGAAATGTCAAACAGGGTTACAAAATTGTGGTAAGTTTAAAATTATACAAGAAGTACCTCTCACTGGTGTCAGTGTATCTCCATGATTGTACATATATTTTGTGGAAAATGAGGCCTCTTTTCAGAGGCCTCTGGTCCACAGTACAAGCATAATCGGCAGTCAGTCTGACATGCAGCCTACAGTGACCTCAGATCTCCTTAACCACTGCCACCAATAGCATCACAAGTCTAAATACAAGACATATACTTACTCTTTTATTCTATGCATCATTGTATGATATTACTACTGTACAAAGACAATATCTGACAATATATGAGCTTATATATGAGCTTATATATGACAATATATGAGCTTAATATATGAGCTTAAGCTTAAAAATTTTTTTATAGGTTCAGAAACAGATTAAAGGTCATTTTTTAAAAAGGTAGGATAGAGTAACTTTGTCATTCAAAGACCAAAAAACAAACCACAACTTCTTTCTGTTTCTAAAAAAAATATGAAAATGAAAAACATTTCTTAAAAATGAATTCTGCAAAAAATAACCCATTCAGGCACAGAAGAAAAAAAAACCGTCAATGAGATAAAATTTATCTCATAAATGAAGTGCTAAAGTAGCTATGTGGTCATGGGCTAGCTTTATTTAAAAAAAAAAAAGGTACACATAAAGAAAAAAATACTCCTGAAAGGAAGTATCAAGGGCATATTTAGGCTAGCTTAATCTTAAATTATGTGCATGTGCAACTAACAAGGAACATGATAATCACCCATGTAAGACTGTTACAGGATAAGCTGCCAGCCTGGGAGGTTGTGTACTGAAAGTGCTCTAGACTTACTGCCAATTCATCTCACTACTCTTTTGTCTCCCTCTGCTCACTGCAACTTGACCCCAAATACAGATCCAAGAGAAGTTACCCTCTTTCTCTTCAAAGCTTCTTATATCCTACACTCTCATCTCAGAAATCTATCCAGCCAAAATTCAGAAGTGAGTGGGTATGACAGGGTCACAGAGGGCATTGCCATCCATGTGGAAGAATTGTGAGAGGAAGAAACATGACTGAGCAGACGTATCCTTTTGGCAGCTCTCACCTGCAGGCAGGCCCTCCTGCCCAGTGGCTATGAGTCACCTGTGTACCTAACCATAATATTTAGGTAGCCTTTCACAATTTAAACAAAGCTTTTCCTCATAGTACTTTGCTTAATCCTTATAGCAGTCATGTTCTAGTAGCATTATTATCTCTATTTTACAAATGAGGAAATTGAAGTTTAAAGAATATAATGGTATGCCCAAGATCACATAGCAATAAATGGCAGTATTTATTTTCAAACCCATGTTAACCTAGCTCCAAACCTCCCATCCTTACCCATTATACCATTTAGTGGTTTTGCCATGGCCTTAACAATGACTTTGCCTTTTGGCTTTCTGTAACAGAAAGTAGGATCAAGAATACAGGCAGGCTGTTGGAACTCAACTTCTGTCACTATAAAGTGGTAAGGCTAGGACCCTTTCAGCAAAGCGTAGGCAAACAATGTTTAAATCAATTAAAGACATTAATTCTTTCAGAACAACAATCATCAGAAAATCCATGATGTGGTTAGACTTGATTGTACAAAACAATGGGCTATACTGTTACTTGTTGCTATAGTTACAAATCAAATGAAAGTCCTCACATATACAATGTGTGGCAAGAAGCTCTGGTCTTATACTGGCAGTAATTTGCAGTCATTCTGCAAGTCTAGTCAGGCTTCAGAAATTCAAACAGTGCCTGAGAGGCCCTATCAGTTCCCTTAGTAATTTCCAAATAATTTAGCAGAAAGCAGCAGAGACTGGGTTGCAATACTGTGGGAGGTTTGGAATGGCGAAGATTGTTTGAAGCTGACAATCTTCCAGAACGTCTATAAATTAGAAAAAAAAAAAAAAAAGAGTAAAGATTCCATCGGGTTGTGTGCAATCTAGAAACCTCACACTGCAAGGCATTCCTGACTTATGCTATGAAAATGTATATGTTTTCCAAATTTCAGTTTTGCTTTTGCTTGTATCTTTAAAAGAAATGCCAGAAAATAGATTCACAGCATTACAGTAATTGTATATCCTGTCTAATTAGTCATTGCCTTATAAACATAGTAGGAACCGGGGTCTTGATCAATCTGTTTATTTTGCAAATAACTTCATGCTATATTGGCTATCATTGTTTTCCATCTGCAACAGTCTATTCCTCTCCTTTTTCTCCTGTTATTTCATATAATATTGGGATTAGAGGCTTTAATCTGCCAGGATGACAACATGGGACATGCATATTACTACTACCATGTTCATCAATGTAGTCTTGAATCTAATTCCTCCCTTTCCTGTGTGACTTTGGGTGAGATAGTCAATCTCTAAGTGACTGTTTTCTTAACTGCAAGATGATTTGAGTTGTAAAGATTAAATGGGACAATGTATGTTCAGCCTCTTCAGCCCAGCGCTGAGCAGAGTCCTCAATAAATATTAGCTCCCTCCCACCACTGCTTGTTTTTTTTTCTTTTTTGCCTTCATGGATAGCATGTCTTAAGTTGTTTTTTTGGGGAGAAAATAAACAGACCTGAACTATAAAATACATAGCAAAAAATATAGGCAGTAAGCTATTTGACATTAGTTTTGGACATTAGTCTGTGGATTTGACAAGGGAAATGAATGCAAAAATCAACAATGGGACCAAATCAAACTAAAAGCTTTGGCACAGTGAAAGAAATCACTATCAAAAGGAAAAGACAGCATCATGAATGTGAAAAGGAGCTAGTGGTTAGATGAAATGGGTAAAGCGGTCAATTATATGATAGTAGATGGAAATTAGACTTAGGTAGTGATCACAGTATAATACATAACATATCAAAATATAATGATATACACTTGAGGCATATGTTATAAACTAGTCACTTCAATAAAAGAGAGAATAGATTTCCATTGTTTGAGAGTAGGATGGACATATCAATTGGTTAAATTTTTGCTAAGTCAAGTGAATATGTTCAAATTTAAGGGTAACAACTAGAAGAAAATAGTTTTCCATCCTACAATAGAAGGAAAAGGTAAAGAAAAGATTTATACTAAAACAATGTATGAATGGAAAAAGGAGTTAAAAAAAAGCAAGGTTAATAGAAAACACAAAATAGGATGAAACAAGGATAAGTATAAATGTAAAAATATGAGTTAAATTTATCTGTTGGTATAAATTCTCAAAATGGATAAAAAATATCTAGCTTCCTTTTGTTTTAAGATAATCCCTTAATAATACAGAATGTTTAAAGTAAAAGGACAGACATATTATTATTAGGTAAAAATATTTATGAAGATAATCATACCAGAAGTAGAGGGTCATTATTTAATGACACAAAAGAAAATTTATCATGGAAATATTAATTCTGAACCCATACATAAGTACCTCCATATTCTCAAAACAGATTATATACTAATGGAATTTCTACTCAAAGGTTTTATCAGTGCTATGTGATTTTTAAAAATACCATTACAACCTTATAGAAATGAAACAAAACATTGACACATACAACTCAAGTATAAAGTAAGCTTGTAAAATTTCTCTATTATAAATAAATTGTCTGGTTGTAATAAATACTATTTTAAACACAAACATATATTGTTTCAGTACAAAGTGATCTCATCCCTCCACCTTGAGATTATTTCTGGATATTTGCAATTTATGCAACATCTCAAAGTTTATATTGTGGGAAAAACTGACATTAAATAACAAAGTTTTCTCTGTGCATCATCTGCATGTAAACAGTTAATAGGCAGATTTCAACTGTAAACAGTTAACATACATATTTAAAATACTCAGTTTCTATTGGTTGTTAGTTTAGATTATTAAATTTATTAAGATATCACAAGAGGAATGGAAGTCACTAGATGTATTTGTTTTAAAAATTTATAATTAAGAATGATAGATAATTCCAAAGGCTTTTGCTTCTTAAACTGAGTTTAGGTTACATTTTTTCTTAAAACTCTCATGCCCTCTGCTGTCCATTTGTTGAGTAAATAATCATTAAATAAAGTAAAACATTACTTGACATTTACATTCAGATGGTAAGAAATTCACCTATTTCACTATTTGAGTCAGTCTGTGGAAACTGTATGCTAAGAAATACTTTAAATTTTTTTATTATAAATGTATGTTAATTATTGGAAATATTTTATGTTAAAATCACTAGTACTATTACCAAGTTGGAATCACAGCATTCACTTATTATTGTATTACAGAAGATTTCCCATATAACAGGGATTTTTAATTATACAAAAAATTTAATTTTTAAATTGCTGCATAATATTCCAGATGACTACCAAGCTATGTAAAACTTTCCTACTTTTGGATATTTAAGTTGTTTCATTTCTTTGTTAGTGTCAGTAACCTGGTACAACAAAATTCCTTGAACATAAGTTTTTTTTTAGACATACCGAATTTTATGTACACATTAAATTCCAGAAAATTTCAGGTCATGGGTGTACATATTTTTCAAGTGCTTTAACCTTATGGCTAAACTGAATGTAAAATTTTATACTTCCCTTTCATTTAATGAACAATTTTTTTTTCTTTAAAGGTGTCAGGAAGATAGAAGGACCTCTTGGTAGAGTGATAGAGAATCAAATTTTCTAAGCATTTAATCTTAATCTTTCTGAATTGTTTCCTCATATATGATGTGAGGATAAAGTGATCTTGCTAAACACAAAATGATTTGTGATGATAAAGTGAGATAATGTATGTACACATTCTTGGAAATTATGTTATTCAGATAAAAGGTGGAATTTATGTTAGTCATTTATTAGACAGATAAGATCAATGACCCATGAAATTTATTAAAGTCTCAATACTTTTTAATATCTTATATTAAGCCTAATATCAATAATTTTCTTCCTTTTCAAACATGATCAGGAAAAAAATATTTTAGTCGGGTTTCAAAGAACTTATAGAATTGAAGATTGAAGCACCAAAACGGAGAGAGAAGCAGGAGAGGAAAAATTAGTTTCTCCTGTATTTTAAATTGCCTACAAAATAATAAAAGGTAAAAAAGTTCTTATAGAGTCACTTAGTACAGTCTTTGTTCATCTTAAAGCTAAAAACTAAAAAACAAACAGATCGATCCAGGTGACAGATAAATCAGGGGCAGCACTAAGAAAATAATCAGTTCCATGCTTTCCATTGCTTTAAATGGTCTCTCTCACCTTTAATATCTTACTTTGTCTCTAAAACAGGTTTACTGCAGTAAAGAGATCAATGCTACTATTAACACAAGTTATGATCTTTCCGTTTTTTCTTGGCAACTTAGAATCAATGCTACCGCTAAAACAAAAATACAGTATTTTACATTGCAATTTTGTAGACTTTTTGATCTTTACAAAAATCCTTTAAGACAAGGAAGGTATTATTACTGTCGTTTTAACAGAGAATAATGACCACCCAGAGACACCCGATGATGTCCAATCTAAGATCACTTCGACTGAGTAAAGAGGCACGGTCTCTAACACTGTTCTCTAACGCAACGTGAGTTCCCTCAAAAAACACCTACCGGGCTCATCATTCGCTAGTCAAGGAAATTTTCTATTCTCAGACCTTGCACGAAATTAGAGATAGATGGATCTAACTACCTACTGAGGGAACTCCTAATCTGCATCTAATTCTCAATTTGAAAAGAACAGTTTCTTACCTCTTTCCTTGGTCTTGATTCTTGTCTAGGCTCCTATTTTTCTGTGTGGGTTTGGCCTCCTGGGGTTTACTCCAAAGCTCCACCCTCTTCAAAAGAAGTCGCGTCCTGGGTATCCAAGGAAACCACCCAGCCTTGCCCACCTTTCCTGTTCCGCGTTTTCCATTGGCCAATTGGATTCCGCGCAGATCTTATTTTTACTGATCCGCCAATGGCCAATGTGCTTAAGAGCCTGTGCCTTCCAAGCCCAGTCTAACACTAGCTCTTACGTTTTACCCTGCGCATTGCCTCCTGGGATATGTAGTTTATAACTGGTCCAGATTCCCTCTCCCTGTGGCCCTTGAGAACTATCTATCCCGTCATTCACCGCAAAAAGGACTAGGTCGGTGTAGAGTGCGCGTCACGGTTGATAGCTCAGAGGTTTGACTTTTCCACTTGTTTTTGAAGTATGTGCCACTGATTTTAAATTGCTTTTGAACCAGCAAACACTCGGCAAACGTCTCCCTTTTGGCTTGTACGGGCGGAGTGACCAGACTGTCCTGTGGCCGAAAAGTGGTCTGAGGGAGCGCCTGAGGGGCGCGCCATGTTTGCCCCCGGCTGTGGCAGGGCGCTTTGCTCCTTGCGGCTGAAGGGGTTCCGAGGGTGGGCGCGCGAGGTCGCCAGCTCCCGCTCAGGTTGGGGCGAATGCCAGCAGGGGACTGAGCCTGAGGTCCTTCCGCCCGGCCAAGTGCGCCGTACGCTGAAGGAGTGGTCGCTGCAGGTGAGCCCGTTCGGCCAGCTGAGGACGCGGCTCCCGTGTCACCTGGCCCTCAAGCCATTGGACCCCCTCACCTACCCGGACGGGGACCGAGTGTTGGTAGTGGTGAGCTGCGTAGAGGGCGGGGCGCCGGACCTTGCTGGCCTGCAGGTGAAGTATGATGAGGCGCTGAAGGAGGTGACCATCCTGTCTGACAGCATCGACCCGCAAGTGTCCGTGGAGGTGAACGCGCCCTTGAAGTTCGGCAAGTGAAGTTAATACGGATTTGGGGTCCGGAGTACAGCAAGCTTGAAAATTAGGCCGGCTTGCACTGTTAATGGTCCCTTTGGATCTGACTTTCTAATCGAACTTTTTCCTTTGGAAGCTTCCACTTTTCCGTTTTATTTTGAGTTTTTATGGAGTAGTTAGGAATTAGGTTCTCAGTTACAGAATTTTCATTAGTGGGGTGCAGGCATGTTAGGTTGAGTGGTATTTGTGGAATCTCCTATGTTATCCTTAGGCACTTTGTTCTTATTTTTGTCATTGAACTTGGTCAATAGAGTGGTTTAATTTTTAGACTTGATTTTCCTGGTAATTCATCACTTGGTATGTCAGTTCACCCTCATTTTCCCTTTCTTTACAGGCTTGGAGGTCTGTCCCCATTAAGCTCTGTGAGATTACCCATAGCTAACCTGGGCCAGGTGTTTTCGTTTCAAACGGATTGGACGTGTTGACTGGGAAAGCAATTAATAATACCTGCAAGCTATGTTTCCTAGTTGTGGGTTGTGTTATTTCCCAAATGGCAAGCTACTATGTGCACACTTTTATTTTTTTTAAAGATTTATTTATGCATACAGAACTGGGGTACAGGCCAGAGATGCAGGGGCGTGGAGAGGACTCACCAGAGACAGGGGGAGCAGAACAGGCAGATCGAAGTACACTGCTGAGCAAAGCAGGGGGTGGATCAGGGGAGGTCTGCTGGGCCATGTGGGTCACCTCAGGGCGGGGATTGAAATGCTGAGGTGCTTTAGCTTCTTAGTGCTGTGCTTTAACCCGCTGTGCTACCGGGAGGGCCTGTGCACACACTTTCTAGAGGAATCTCCCCGAGCTGTCCTCCTTGTTGGAATTGAAGGGTGATATTGATGATAATCACAATAGCAGTAAACACATAATAATCTGTCCTAATCCTTTCATTTGTACTCCAAATTACTATTACTGTCACCATTTAAGATAAGGAAATTGTGATATAGCACATTTAATAAAATAACTATTTATTACGAGTGGAAAATAGGAAAAAACGCGTGTCTTCATGATACATAAACTGGTGGGGGTAGATCCGGAATATGCCTATTCTCTCTCAAGATAGAAAGTACTGGAGATGAACTAATTGGAGTCTACTGATTCACACCTTTATTGCTTTCCAGCTTCTTTTCATTAGTCTACATGAGTAAGACACTCCCATCTAAAATGAGGGAAGGAAAATTTGCTGCTGTATTGTAGTTTAAAATAAACTGAATATTGAACTAAAGATAAGCAAAATTTTATGACAACAGAGACAGAAATGAAATTATCTGTGCTGTTGATCCCACACTGCATTACTTGTTTATTCTTTTATTTAGAGCCAGAGTCTCATTTTCAGTATGTTTCCATGTATCAATTTTATGGGCCCTCAGATCAGCAGAATTCAATTTCTTTCTACTACAGTTTGTCTATTATCTGTCTCAGAGAATGGATAACAGTGACATTACTGCTACTCAAGTGCTAAGGTAACTTCTTAGTGAGAGTAACATGTATTCAGACTCCCCCTTACTCCATGTCTGTGAACACTGCTTTAGATCAAACCTTGTAACCCTAAGTAAAACTTTAACAATTAAAAATTTCTGTCCAAACAAGTATGGGGCAAAGTTTTTAAAAAATATATTTTAGGTTAATCCCATACAAAGTATTGCTATTACTTTAAACTTTTAGAGACTGCTATCTACATAATTTCTTAAATATCATTTAGAAAAAATTTTAGACACCCAAGGTCATACCTTAAATTGTTAACAGTTAAGAATCGCACTTCTCTCTCCTTTTCTAAAATTTCTTAATACCATTATTTGTTCAATTTTGTGCTTTCGAGAGTATTCACTACTAGATTTTTCAGAATTGTTTCCTTTTTTCTTACTTCAGATATCTTAAAGGTAAATGTATGGTAATACTTTTAACTGTTAGATATGACAGTAAAAATAAGATTTAAAAAACAAGTCACCTGGCCCTCCCTGGTGGCGCAGCGGGTTAAAGCACTGCACTAAGAAGCTTAAGCCACTTCCACATGAGTTCGATCCCCACCTGCCCCGGAGGAGATCCACATGGCGTGGCAGACCTCTCCTGACCCGCCCGCTGCTCCCTCAGCAGTGTACTTTGCCGATCTGCCTGTTCTGCTCCCCGCTCTGTCTCTGGTGAATCTTCTCACCCTCCGCATCTCTGGCCTGTACCCCAGTTCTGTACGAATAAATAAATAAATCTTTAAAAAAAAAATAAAAAACAAGTCACCCTTGCTTCTTTTGCAGTTTGCTTTGAATTTGGGGGCAGTTTACCATGACATTCTAATTTGCTGTCTTATTTCAACTTGTATGTTTGTTTTTTCAGTGAAGTAAGCTTTCTGTGATCATCCCTAGGAGTGCTAATAAAAACTAAAGTCTTTTGCTTCCTTTACTCCTTTCCTTTGTTTCTCTTCAAATGATATGCAGCAGCAGAAATAATTATCTCTAAAAACTGAGAAAAGGCCATTAACATTTGGTCCAGCTGCCTTGGTGGATACCCCTTACCTTTATACTGACAACTGTGTTCTTTCCAGGGATCAATAATAGGGATATAAAAGCTGGATTTCTGTGGAATACTAAAATGCTTGGGAGCCCATTAACCATAGTACCTATTCTTTTATTTCTAGATTTGAATATCAAATCATCAGGGTCTGGCTGTGTAAAAGTCCAAAATATTGAGTGTGATAATTGCAAAATTGAAACCGATCATGGTACCAGCATCTTACAGACTATTAAGGTATATACATTTTTCTAGTTTTGTTTCAATAGTTTTTAAATTTTCAAACTATGAATATAATGTTAAGCTAATACTTTTCTACTTTTCATATAATGAGTGTAATTCATTTTAATATATGCCATTCTTACGGGGGCGAGATATATCATTGAGGTTTTGATTTGTGTTTCTCTTAGAAATGATGTTGAACATTTTATCATATGTCCATAGACCATCTGAATGTCTTCTTTGGAGAAGTGTTTATTTAGAGTGGTTGATTGGGTTATTTTTTTTTAATTGTTAATTGTGTGAACACTATATATTTTAAAAATTAACATTTTGTCAGATATGTTATATAAAGGTATCTTTTCCCAGTCTATAGATTGCCGTTTTATTTTCAAGAAGCCCCAAAGCTTTTTAATTTATTTTCTATTTTGTTTCTCTTGCCCAAATACATTTCTGCAATTGATGTCCAATAGTGTTATTACCTATATTTTCTTTTAAGTATTTTATGTTTTCAGTCTTAGAGCCAAGTCCTTAATCCATTTGAATTAATTTTTATTATGGAATTAAGGATTTAGTTTTTTCTTTTTGGATGTGTCTGTCCATGTTTCCTAACATCATTTGTTCAAGAATTTTTTTCCTTATTGTATGGAACTGTCTCCTTTGTCAAAGATTAGCTGAGCATGTGTATATGGGTTTAATTCTGGGGTTTCTATTCTGTTCTGTATATATA